ATTCCTTGTTTCTAAAAAGCATGAATGCAGCAAGAACTGTTTTCCTACTGTTCTGTTAAAACCTGAAAGCAGAAAATCTTTTGGAGAAGATAAAGCTAGTTTGGATCTAGAATTACAGACTGAGTGGTCAAAATGGAGAAAAGAGTGACAACACAAATCACCTAAATCAGTTCATTGCTTCAATTGTAACAGAGAAGTAACACTTTGGAAAATATAAACCTAAAAACTGTATTGATGTGTTGTTTCCTAAGTATTAGTATTATTATTATTAATATTAGTATTAGGGGACCCTGGACTGGAGTAAATTAAAATCTCTAATGACTTATTGCAGATTAAAAAAAAATATTTAGTTTAATGAAAAAAGTGCCTTGACACAAGTAAATTTCCTGGTTTGACTGTATCATTTAATAATGGTATAATCCATCCAGCTTCAGATTTTAAATCAGAGCTGGATTCAGGCAGGTTCCACTGGAGGTTTGCTGTAAGCACAATTACCTCTCCAACATATTGAGCATGAAATCTTTCCTAAACAACAGGTGGGAAACTCAACTTCCCCTTCCTACAAGGAAAAATGTGTAAGTTATCTTGGAAGTGAAAAGTTTAAAGCCCAAAAAATGAGCAGTGGTTAAAAACAAACTGCAGCCATGGAGAATTAACCTTGCTCAAGTGTCATCCTGAGCCATTTAAAGGAATGTTCAGGATCAGCCACGGTTTTAATTAACATTTGGGATACTGTGCATGATTGTAATGTGAAATGTCACTGCTGAAAGGTTAATATAAGATGTTTTAATGTACCTTGGAATCACTAATAAATTTTATACATGTGTGATACTAACTTCTTGTGGCTTCATTTACAGAAACACTATAGAATGTTATATATATACATATATAATGGCAATTATTGCCTCTAGAAAACCAGGAAATTATGGTTTAGATTAAATAAAGCTTTAGCAAACAAATAACTCTTGGAATTATCAGTGAGTGGATTTTATGTGGATTTAAGTTTGCAAATAAATAATATTTATTAAGTAGTCAAAGAGAGTATTTTTAGAAAGTGAGGTAGTTTCATCAATAAAGAGTATTCATATGCAATTAACACTCTTCATTTATTTTAATTGCTCAGCAGTTGATACTTCTAATCCTATTTTCCCACCTGTTAAGATAAGTTATTCAACCCCAAGCTTTTCTTGTTATTTACCATATTGTCATGCACTGTAAACAAGCTTAGCCTGATTTCCTTCTGAGGATAAATTCAGGAATTTTTAAAAATTCCTACATTTAAATTGATTCCAACTAAAACTGCAAAAAGGAGAACAAAAACTGACTGCAGTGATGCCACTGATGAAGAAGAGAGAAGAGCTTCCAGCTGAACAGGAGCAGGGGAAGGGTTGTGGTGTGTTTGCTGTGGCACAGTGGTTGTGCTAATGACATAGGATTTCTGGATGAAAAGCTGGGAATGTACTGCTGGGTGGCTTAGCAACATATTTCCTGTTTGTGGTTGAGTTAAACACTGTGTGTTTTCTTTTCTGGTAGCATACAGAGTAATTACTTTTTTCTTCCTTTTTTTTCCCTCCAGTGCAGTTAGAACAAAGACTACAACACTGTTAACTTTCTTCTTCAATTCTAGAAATGTGGAGAACAGAACATTTCCCAGGGACTGAAAATTGAATTTGCTGTTATGGTGATCTGTCAACTGCATTTTTCAAGCAGAAGCCTCTGCTTTCTCTGGGAAATAGAAACTCTACTACTGAATTATGAATTCTCATAAATCCAGAATAATTTTCCTTTTTGGATAGACTCAGAGTGAGTGCCTTCTGCAACCTTGCATGATTGAACTTTTGGTCTGTTTAGAGGGAGAATGTTCAGAGCTGTAAGATCTCACACTTCTGGGTTAGCCAGTCATCCTCAAAGGACTATTTCATCAGTTCAGATATAAAATAATGCACGTTTTGGGGATGCTCAGGATACCTCATGCTTATCAGGGTCTGATCATTTTGCTGTAAGGTAATTGTGGGATCTCTGTGAGCTGCTGTGGTTGTGTGACTGACTGGGACTAAGATTCCACATGAAACCTACAGAGCAGTGGCTTTTTGGAGTGACATGTTTGCAGTGATGTGAAATGATATCTGTAATAAATAGTTCTGAAATCCATTTGTTTCAGAGACGAAGCCAAGTTAAGAACAGTTTGTACAACTACTCGTTTCCACCCTCAGGCCACACTGTTGCTCTCGGAGTTGATCCAAAACGCTGCACTGCAGTGTCTGCCAAAATGAGGTTTGTCTGCTTGCCTTAAGCAGAGTTGTGGTTTTCTGGAGAGTTTTTCTTTGTTTCCTTTTGCTGTTGCGGGGCTTTTCCATGTAAATTTTTCCTAACTGGGATAGCTACATTATTTCTCTTCACTCCTTTTGCTTGGAATTACCTGCAGAGTTTGTATGGTCAGAAAGGTCCTTGGTTCATACACAGAATATTTGCTTCTCAATCCTAGAAACTGGGGTGGGGTGGGGGAAGAACACTACAATGCAGCAGTAGGACTAAAACCATTTTCAACCAGAAAACCACAGGCTTTAACTTCTGCTGAGGAGGCTGTGAAGTGGATCTAATGACACTGGATCTATAGCAAGCTTTCCAAAAGCAGGTTTCCAGCAAATCCTGTAGCAATGTTTTGTACAACACAAACAACAGTTTTAAGCCACAGCTGAAAACCCCAAATGGAGACTTGCAAAGCATTTGTAAATCAGAGTTAAAAAAATGACATAACTCTGCTAAGCAAGCAGCCATCTGTCCCAGGAGAGCAGGCAAAGGCAGGAAGGGGAACTAAGAGCAGCTGTGGGATGACTTTTCATCACATGATGCAGCTGCAGCCTGATGGCTGCACGTCTTTTCTCCATCACTCAGACAAGGGTACAGAAATTACAATGTACCAGCACTAAAACAACAAATCTCCTGTGTTTTCAGTGATGTGTGGTGTCCCCATACCTGACTTCAGATGGGTTTCTTTATGTTTTGCTAAAATCAGGAATGTGATCTGAGTTTCACTCCATCAAAACTAAAATAACTAAAGGCCTGACCGTACATTTGCTCAATTTTCTTGATTTCTCACACGTGCACTTGCTTTCCCTCAAACCACAAATTATTTTTGGCATGTTGTGCCAGCTGCTCCTGAATTTTAGAGGTCAGTTCAATGTAAAGGTTTACTGAAGAACACTTGGCTAATGCAGTGTGAGCAGCACTGTGGCAAATTTAGAAAAATTGAGGACAAAAAGTTCTTGAGCATTTAAGAGTTGTGCTGAACAAACAGGGCTAAAGAATTCGGCTTAAAAACTCTTAAATTTGTGCATAGAGATGCCAGGCTGTTGGAAATTATTCTGTTTTCTCTGACTGACTGAACTTTGTGCTCCAGATATGGGTGCTGCTTAATACAGAAAAATAGAGGCAGCAGAGAAAGTGCAAAATGGTCATTAGAGCTAATTGAAAAGACGAAAAAACTAGACTTGAGCCTTTCTTTTTAACTAACCATTGTTAAACTGTTGCTGCAGAATGAGATCCTGTAAACTATAAATGGATGTAGTTGGAAATAACAATACATTGCCTGACATTGCAAACAAGTGATTAAATTCATGATTACTTTATTAATTTCATCATTCCAACTTAGGTATGGTTAAGATGGTATCATAAACTAATAAAATGAAAAAAAGGAAGATTTATACAGGAATGAAGAGATGAACCTCAAAGGAAATTTTAGAACAGAGCAGCTAGACAGAGCTGGCCTATTTTATAACCTCCTAACTTCTGCTTCCAAGATTCTACTTTAAGAGCCCTGCCAGTTTTAGAGCTGTCATTTTATTTGAAAGCTGGTATTGTCAGGCTATATCAACAGGTTTTCATTGCTGGATTTTAAAGATAAATATTTCCCCTGGTACTCAGGTAAGCCTGAGAGTCACAAGAAATGCAGAGAGCCTCCAGAATCTCAGGCTTTGTATCACTGTATGTATTAGACAGAGAGCAGAAATTCACTATTCTGTCCTGCGTACCTGTTCAAAAGTACAGTCCCCTGTGGCAGCAGTGCTGAGCTGGGACCCTCTCCTAGAGGGCAATAAATGGATGTATTTATATCAAATGGATATATTTATATCAGACGGATATATTTATATCAAACGGATATATTTATATCTGAGTGCGGCCTCCAAAGGATTGCCCTTGTCCCACCAAAACAGATCACGAAGGCGCTCATGACTGCTGTCCCAACATAACTCAGCAAGCACAGATTCAGCTATACCACCACTAAATGTGTCTTTTTCTTTTAAAAACAGCCGTGACATTGATACAAAGACATCTGTCAACACGACACTTTTATTAACCAGAGATGAACCGTGATTTTCCCTCTGTCCATGCTGATACTGAGCATTCTGAGACACCTTCAGTTTGCACAGTGAGGCTCGGCCAAAGGGATTCTGGAATCCACAGGAACGGTTTAAACAATTTTTTGTTGTTGTAGAGCACGGGTGGATGTTTCGGATATTGCTCCTCCTGGAGAAGAGAGAGCCAGCTTTGGGGGGCCCAAGGGACCTTCCAGAACCTGCCCGCAACTTTCACCAAAGACGGGGCAACACTATTTACAAAAGCACGCGGTGACAGGACACAGGGGAATGGGTTCACGCTGAAAGAGCGGAGGTTTAGATGAGATATTACGGTATTAGGATATTATCCCCTGTGAGCACGGGGAGGCCTCAGCACAGATTGTGAACAGCTGCGGCCGCCCCATCCCTGGGCAAGCCCAAGGCCAGGTGAGACGGGGCGTGCGGACACCTGGGCCGGCGGAAGGTGACGCCGCCCATGGCAGGGCTGGGAAGAACTCGCTCCCGGAGCCATAAATCCCGGCAGGGCGGCCGGGGGCGTTCCGGGCTCCCCTCAGGGCTCCGCCATGCCCTGCGCAGGCGCGCGCAGGCGCGGCGGTTCGGGCGGGCCGTGCGCATGCGCGGCGGGGCCGGGGCAGCAGCGGAGCCGCCCCGGGAGGAGCGGGCGCGGGGGGCCCATGGGGCCCTGGCGGCCGTGAGCGCTCGGCACAGCACAGTACAGCACAGTACAGCACAGCACAGCGGCAGCCCCGCGGAGCCATGGACGGACACGCGGCTCCGGGCGCGGGCGGTGAGGAGGCGCTGGGCTCCGGCAGGATGAACGCGAAGCGCGGCGGGCGCGCCGCGGAAGAGGAGAGCCGGAACAAGCCCAAGCTGGTGAGCGCGCTGCCGGGCGGGCGGGGAACGGCCCGGGCTCGGGGACGAGGAGCGGCAGGAGGGGGCGCGGATGCGGCGCTTCCAGCGGGGAATGCACGGCCAGGGGCGGGGGAGCCTTTCCGGGGATTAAAGGCGTTTAAAGCCGCCGGGGTTCCGGGGGCGTTTCGGGGGGCTCCTCGCAGAGGCAGCGCTCAGAAGGGCCGGGCCGCGGGGCCGCTGCCCGCGGGGGTGGGCGCTGGAGCACGGGCCGTGGGAATTGCCACGCTCGGCCGGGGATGGGGACAGGGACAGGGATGGGGACAGCGCTGCTCCGCAGCCCCGGCCCCGCCGCGGTGACAGAGCGCGGGGTGCGGCTCGCTCTGTGTGAACAATCCAGAACGCTGCTGACCATGATGCAAACCACCTGCTTACCAATGGAACGGCTCCCTTAAAGGGAAAAGAATTTAAAAAATACCTGGGACTTTTTTTTTTTGTTTTGTTTTTGTACGTAACACCCCTTTAGGACGGCAGTTTGTGTATTGTAGCTGTGCTCTTTATTTCTTTTGCTGACAAACCTGATAAGTCGAAATACAGGTGGAGTTCAAGGCAGCATCACTGGGTTGCCCCACAGTTGATAAATGTTTCAGAAGCAGAACCAGCTCATGTGCCGGTGTTCACCTTCGATTGTTTCCATTTGTCACTTTCACGCGTTGAAATCAACTCCATTTAGCTCAGTTCTTGGTTGTATTTCCAAGAGCAACAGTGTAGCAGACCTTTAAAACTCCTGAGTCTTCTCCTTGGAGAGAGTACTAGTTACAAACTTGATTTAACCTGTTTCCAGGGTTTTCCCAGATGCTGGTGAAACTAAGTTAACATTGAAGTTTAGAGCTTAGAGGTAGTCAGCCTGACAACTGCAGTTTGGGTTTTTGTTGTTTGTTTGGGGGTTTCTTAGTTTGTTTTTTGTCACTGAAGATGAAGTTAGAGTATGGGAAAGTTGGTAAATATATAGCACTGAGGCATAGGAAGTTACTGAAAGTTGTAATTGTTTCAGAGGATGACAGTCAGGAGCCCAAATGACTTGAACTGCGCTTGTATGAAGAGTGACCATGTATATTTTGGCAAAAGACTATCAAATATGGTGTCTTGTTTTTTTTCATGGTGTTATTGGAAACAAACTCTTGTTTCCTTGTGTAGGATGAGCTTTGTATAAACAACACCGTTGGGTATGTTTATATTACCTTTACAGCTTCCTGCTGAAGTAGCTAAGAAGGCTGCCTGAGGATTCCTGCAGGGAACTGATTTGAAAATCACCCAGGGAAGTGCTTCTATTGGAAGCTGTGAAAATAAATTTTAATTTTGCTCTAGTAGAAGAGAACTCCATTCTGATAGAAACTCACAGCCTGAAAAATCAAAGTGAAATGAGCTCAAAATTGGATTGAACAGGATGACTATTTCCATTGCATGGCCTATTGTTATTCTAGAATCCCTAGAATAAACTTTCATTGTTCCCTTTAGTGGAAAAAAAGAACATGATGTTATTATTTGACTTCATTCACAGTAATATGCTTTTGTTTCTTGAGGGGGTGGATGATTACAGTCCAGCAGCACCATGGATCAGAGCAGGGATATGTTGCTCAAATCAGAGCATTCTGAAAGATAGTTTTGCCCTGGGATAAGTGACTGGCCTTTGATGGTATAATTGAGTGAGGGGGTTGAACAGGAAGGTGTGTTTTTTCACTCTGGACGTGATGTACACAAATACTTAATCAACCTGACATGAACAGAGACTTACTTTTGAGGGAGAAAAAGGAGTCCGAGTCAGGTGTGCTTTAAATTGAGTTGGGGTGACTGGACAGGCAGATTTATCAGCAATTGCTGTGGGTTGTAAGGGAAGAACAAGCCTGTAATCAAGGAAAGGCCTCATCCATTATACAGGAAAGTAATCCTACAAAATTCTTCTGGCTTTAATTTTGAATGAGGAGTTGTTCTGCTGAGGCTGGCAATGTGTTCAGACACTGGGAGAGCACTTTTGCACCTCATCCCTGTTCTCTGCCTTGTGCAAGTAAGAGAAAGGTGTTTTGGGACTTGTGGCAAAGAAGCCACGCTGTTTTGTGAGTGTCACCAAGTTCCTTTACAAAGTTCCTCACAGTTGGGTGTGGAGATTTTCTTAGGTCATTTTTGTAACTTACAATTCATCAAGTTTCAGTGGAGTTTGAGAGATGAATCAACCTGGGCTCTGTCATGTGCTGGGTGGGATTCAGGGAGCTCTGAGTGTGCTGACAGGAGTGTGCCTCTTCCCAGAACTTATTTCACACATCCAGGGGAGTGCTGAGCAAGGGCTTGGTGGGAGAGGCTGTGCAGCTACACGGAGAGGAGAAAGTATTTTTGGTTCCTGGCACAGTAGCTGAAATTAGGCAAATCCTTGGGAAGAAGTCCAGGGGAATGATTTTTATATGATAAAAATGGCTCTAGGTGACAGAGGGCTAGGAACTGAAGTCATTATCCTGAGGGAAGGGAAACTAGAATAGAAAGGTGGGAGGTTTTGATTTCCCTGCTCTCTTCATTTGAAAGGTGTGCTGTGGTGCTTGGCCTGCAAAGTGCAGTGGGTTGTTTGTGGGGTTTTAGGGGCTGCAGCCTGATCAGTGGCACTTTTTCCTGACTGTCAGGAAGTAGGACTGGGCTGTTGGGAGAGAATCTGTGCTGGGAAGGAAAGCAATGCTTTAAAGTATTTCTCTGTAAGGCAATTGATGACTTTGTACACACACAAGTAATGAAAGGTGAGCTGTATCAGAACTACTAACTCATTTATTTTCTGCTTTAGGTAATTGAGGGAGGTGTTCAGGTTTCATACGATTTATTGAATGTGACAGAACCTCATAATTAGAATTTAGTTCCTGTTTTTTATAGCAGTAGTGTGTAAACTGGAGTATTTTACTGAAGTCAGTGTTATGAGCACCTGGACTCATAACTGATGCTGAGGGAGCTCTGGGTTGGTGTTTTAAGGGTTTTTTTCCCTCATTTTTTTTTGATGGCTTAAGGACTAGAGGTTGGAGTAAGTGCCTAGTATTTTTGTCATCATTTTTGTTTACAGTGAAATGGGCAGAAAAAATCTGAATTGTTTTGGCAAACAATCATCTGATCTCACGTCAGCCCTGAGAATAGGCTGGCAGGAGGTGGCAGAGAGCAGTTCCTTGGGTTTGGCAACACGCTTGTTATGCTTGTTTTAAAGCATGCCTGTTCTGCTAGGCCAAACAGACTAAATTAAGGTTGTCAGGGAGATTGCTGGGATTCCTCTGCTGGTTAATGCTTAACTCAGATGTTCTTTGGTCTCCTCCATGCTTCAGTCACATGGGGAATAGATAATTCTGTCAGGGACCCAGGAAATGGGAAGTGCTTGAGAGTGTCAGCTCTGGTTTGCCAGAGCTGGTGTAGCTTACCAAGGGCATGGCAGGTTCAACATCTCTTTGGCTGAGGAGTTGAAGTCAGACTTTACAGAAGTTCATGGCAGAAAAAGGGGAGACAGAGGTCATAAAAAAGAGCAGGAGAGGTCACTGGAGATGAGACCATAAAGGGAAGATAATTTAAAGCATGTGTTTGTTGGTCAGAGACACTGAAATCACTGTTCCTGGAGGTTTCCAAGTGCTAAGCCTGGATGGAGTCTTTAGCATGCTGATGTGAATTTGGTGGGTGACCCTGCTTTTTGGGCAGAAGTTTGAACTGCAATGAGAAAAGGATGAGAACCACACCTGTGGTTCTTTGAGTCAGCACGTGACAAGAGGTGCTGAACAGGATTTGGGGTGCTCTGGGGGTTTTAGAGCACTAGAAATGACTGTGGCCAGTGCTTTTGGTGGTGTTTTTCAATTCAGGTTAATGGCTCCTGTCAGTTCAGGATTAGCAGGAGAGCCTGGTGGGCAGTGCCACGCTAACACACACTGCTGTACCCCTCCAGCTCTGGCTGGGAGCTGTTCAGTGCAGGATTCTCCACTTATTGCAAACTACATTTCTGAGAGGGGCTCTATTCTGAGTGTGATGTGGCCTTTAAAATCAGATTAGGAGGAAGATGTTGTATAACTTTCAAAACAAATTGTTAGGGGGAAGAGAGATCTCCTTTAATTGGAGAGCAAGTGGATTTGGTGATTCACGCGAGGAGCATCTCACATTTTGTTTTGAAAGCAGGAATTGTTTGTGCTTAACGCTGAAGTCTTTTAAATCTCATGAGCTTTGAGATGAATCAAAAGCTAGGAACTCAACATTCTGACTAATGTGCCATAACCTGGCATCAAACAGTGGGATAAAAGCTTTTATGAAGTTCCTTTAAAACAGAAGTAAGCTGAGTGTGCTTGGGAGGTTTCCCAGCTGTGTTGCACCACCCATATCAGTGCAGGAGTGGAGTGATTTAAGTTGTGCTTATCAGTCTCTGTTGGGCAGACTGTGTGCTGCAGGACCCACCAAAAAACAAAAAAAAGCTTCTTGCTTCTTGCCTGACTTCTTTAGATATCTGTGTACTGCATATGTGAGCTGTGAGTCAGGTTGAGCAGAGATTTTTGGCAATCAGCTCAAATGTCTTACATTTGAAATCATAGTGTCTCTGAGTGAAATCTGTGCCTGCCTGCAGAGTTCTTGTTTCAAGTGTATGCTTGAGCAAAAAGTGCCCCAAAATGCTTGTGTTCTAAAAGACTCTTGCTCTTATTAGATCCAAGTCAGGATATTCCAGCAAGTGAAGTTATCTAGGGTGCTGCAACCATTGCTGAAGAGTAAAAGTAATGTCTTATGAAGTTTCTGAATTAATAATTAGATTTAATTATTAGATTAATAGTTAGAATTATTCTGGTCAGGCACTGCTGCTGACATGGGAGGGTAGGGCATGCTTGGTGCTGATGTTTAGGTAAATGCTTTGGCTTTTAATGGGAATTGCTATTGACACTGAGTGAGGTGATAGAGACAGTGATAAGCCTATCTGTGGTAATTAAACTTCCTGAGCTAGTCCTTGTAAGACAAAACCGTAGAGCACTTCTGTACAC